AGAGAGACAGATGGACCGTCGATACTGGGCCGGATATTCATCAACGAAGAACTCATGTTCGGGAAGGTGACTGTGGCAGTCCATTTGGGCCCCACTGGTCTTGTGGTCCTACTTCTCGAATTCATCCCTTATGTATCCTATTCCGGTGGAGAAGACTGATGCAACCTGGATGACTAAACGCTACGTTATATTGCCATGATTAGGTAAGACAACTAACTGTACCAGTCTGGTAGAGGAGGCACCTGCTAGCGCATGAACACAGTTCCTCAGCAAGTTTAACACTCCTGTTACGGGAGCAGCAGAAACTAAGGCTGCCCACCAGAGAAACGTGGCCTATTCTGAGCGAAGAAGGACGCGCATGTGTATAACGGTGCGAAATTCTCTCCGAGCGCCCAGACCTGGATGGTTTGGTGGTCCAATGCAACCAATTTCCTTAACTAGTCCGCAGGCATAAAAGGGCATACCAACAGGCGTTGGCGGTACGCATGGGCTCAACTCACAAGTTGCTGTAACAACATGTAAACAGCCTATGTAAGTTGAAACGGGGAGCTCTTCTTCTTCAGACAGCAGAACAACTGACACATGCCACGAAGGATGCGGCGAATGTCCTGCACCTGCAATATGCTCCAAATTTCGGTGTGTTCAGTGGTCACCTAACCCTATGGCAAGTGTTTTCTCACCCCCGACACTCATTCACCTATATATCCTTCACGGCAGGAGCTGTATTTAAACAACTCTTGTGTATGCGTGAGCACAGCTCTCGCAAAGTCACTTGCGGATGTAGGAGAGAGCGTGCTGCTCCTTCGGTTTGATTCTTTCAACACTGTTTTGACGTAATGTATATGTCCGACATGTGGAAACACGGGATGAATAGTCCAACTCACAAGGGGCTAGTTGTTTCGATCCAGAGAAGTGTCGTCCCATAATCCTACTATCGGTACTTCCAAAAGTCATGGAAGCCATTGTTTCCGATGTACTAACGGCATGCTTGGAGGTGTTTACCCGCCTTGTACCAGAACAGCATGGCTTCCGGGGAAATCGATCGTGCACAACAAACCTACTGCTAGCGCGACCCAACTGAATGAAAGCAATAAACACTGATACAGGATTTCGTATAGTTTATCTCAACTTCGCAAAAGTATTCGACCGGTTAGACCATTACATTGCTAGCTCCAAATTCCAGAACTTTAGTATTGGTGCTTTGCTCCTCGGGCGGTTCAGAAACCTTTGTCTCCCCGGCGCATGGTGGCATAAGTGCATAAATCCTCGTCAGATTTCATCTAAGTTGAATGCGGGGTACCACGGTCATCCGTACTGGGACCACAGTTGTTTTCGACATATAACAACGATATCACATACCTCATATGTTTGCACTGACTGCTTTATACCGATAACATCAATGCGTGAAGGGCGCTTAGTAAGCCAGTAGTTATCACACTACATCAATCCGATTCGGATAGGGTTTACACGTGAACACTCCTTGAGCTACTTCAATACAATGTGGATAAATGTAGAGCGCACCACTTGCGGCACCAGCAGAGGTGCTACTACAAACTCGGCAATCAGGAGCTCCAAACGTCTTCTGGTGGAAGGGATTTTGGCGTTTTGGTCCAGGCCGACCTTGGGTTTCCGGACCAGACGGAAAAGGCACAAAAAGAAGCACCCAATACGTGAGCCTCCTGCAACGTGCATTCGGATGATTCTACAAGTCGACATTTCAGCAGCATTGGTGCACACGTGGAATGCACAATCTAGTTCCGGTGGCCAAGGTTGAGGAGAGAACTCCTACTTTGGAGGTGATTCAACGCCAGGCGAGCAAAATTGTCAAGACATGTACTTTGTTCCTTGTGAACAAATATTGCAATTCTTCGGGGTTTTCTGCGGACGACACCGGAGACTGCGTAGTGACCACATTTGGTAAAACCATATTTTGATAGATCCCAACCGCATGTACCGCCATTTACTGTGACTCAGTCACAACGGTTATTTAAGAGACCACTCTCTCAAGCGGGCGGAGCAGCACAGTCTTATGGGATGCCGTAGGAATTGCTTTTCTGTACGTGTTTGTATGTGTGGTGACGAGTTGGCAGACGCTTTCGACGACCCTGTGCGCGCATAGATACCAGCTAACTGGGGAAGCCAGATGTTCGGAATGAGTAACAAATTACAGTGGAATTCGTGTAAAGTAAGCGTTCATGGAATACAGTCGAAGGTCGCTGGTCTCGTGTTCACCAGACCTTACTAGAAGCAGGTTAATCCTCACGCGCTAAATCCAGGGGCCAACATGGACATTGGGTCTCTTCGCGGTCTCTGGAACATCGTTGCTCCCGCCACCCTCAGGCTGGAAGCGAACACCGCGAATGTTGGTGATCTCATTGTGCGTCAGCAATGAAACTAGCCGCTGCTGTTGATAATCATCGGAAGTTCTTCCGTTTGATACGCGAAACTGGCAACCGGATACCTGGTGTTAGTGTAACTATTTGTGAGAAGAGTGGGGAATCTATCCAAAGCTCTGCAAAACACTTGGAGCGTTGGACTGACCACTTTGAAAGACACTTTAATCGGCCGGAACTGTCAAAATACTCACTGGCCAGTGGTTGCCCCTCTCCCTGGGCTGTACTTTTGGATCCCCTCTCTCCCTCAGAAGGTGAGATCGCATTGTTAAAGTTGAATAAGACCTCGGAATCACATTATCTTCCTCCAGTTCACTTCAAATTCGGTGCCTTTTCTCCTGTTGCTGATTTGCATGAGTTACTAGTGAATATGGGAGCAGGATACCGTCCCAACCGAGTGGAGCCGCTCCGTCGTAGTCCCGATCTTCAAGCTAGGCTCTCGTTCAGTATGCGATAACATTACCGGAATAAGTCTGATCTCCATCGTCTCCAATTTGCTTACATCTGTCGTCCTTCACAGACTGACTAGCAATCGTGAATGCCAGATTCGTGACGAGTAAGCCAGGTTTCGTCGAGGTCGCGGCTGCATCGATCACTTTCACACTTCGCGTCAGTTGTTGAAGCACCGTCACATATGTTGGCAGCCTACCGTCCTCGTGTTCTCGATATCAAAGGTGCCTTCGATTCGCTTGATGGATTGCCGTTTGGGACTGTCTGTTAAGGGAAGATCTGCCGCAGCAATAGGTAAATATTATCCGAGCGCTTTAGGCGCGCAGCTAAGGCGGAAAGAGGGCTTAGGGCAACCTGTCTCCAGCGGTGTAAGACAAGTATGTCCGCTGTAAGCTTGTTCAACTCCGCTATTGACGAAGTCATGGAGAACGGCTTCAGAGGACACGAGTTGTAAGGTGTGGAGCTTATCCCAGGTGAACCATTGCTTGACTTCGAGTATGCTAATTATATTGTCGCATCTGTGACAGCTTCCAAATGTACAAAGCTGCACTGGTCAGAATAGCAAGTGTTGTCCGCTGTTTCAGGCTATGCTTTGCACCCTCAAAGTGCAAGGCTTTCCTCCAAGATTGACAGGGACCGCCTTCTGGGCTGGCCCATGGAGGGGATCAGCTGGAGGTCGTTCAAAACTTAATTACCTTGGCAGTTGTGTCCGCGCCTGTGGTATCGATGTTTAGGTATAGCAAAAGCATGAAGTGCTTTTACTAACTTACGCCACCTATGGCGCCGGCATGACATCACTCTGTTCCTGAAGAGTAGACTGTACAAATAGTCGTACGTAGGACCCTACTGTACGGTTGTAAAACCTGGGACATCAGATCGCAGACGTAAAGATGCTTGTTACGCTCGACCACCGGTGCCTTCGCAATTCGGCTCATATCGGGTGGAAACACTGTGTGTGACCAATGAGAGTGTTCGACACCTTGTTCATGGCACATGAAGGGGAAGTGAATCGCTCAGCACCGAATATCACGCACCTAGCTCCGATAGCTGGGCCACCTGTTGCGCATGCCAGCCCACCAGCTCCCGAGACGTGTACTGTTTACAAACCGGGGAGTGAATAGAAAAAGGAGGGTGGTCAAACAATGGCTTGGTCAGGAGGAATAAAGGCCCTCAGTTCGAAGCTGGCCGCAGTTGGAGGCTCTCGGATCTTTGATTAGGGCCCGTAAGACGAGGAACACGCTTGGCTGGATACACTTTTGACGTGGCTAGGAACCGACATCAGTGGGCTTGTATTGTGTTTCCTTGTCCCTCCAGCTCCTGCTTAGGCTGCCCCTCCAACCACGATCGCATTTCCTAGACATAATAGGACTCTTTTTTCCTGCTCTCCGGAACGATGCCCATCCGTTATTGTGGTCCTAACTGTCGTGACTATGCTGCAGGTTTTATTCTTATTCTTTTTTCTCTTTTGCAGCATAATAGCTGGTGTTTTCCACCTCTAGTTAACGTGCATAATGAGGATGATATGATTGCCAAGCGTTTAATGCCCTCCCGGAACCTGTCATTTGTGCTTTCACGCAGGTTGACTTGAAAGCTTGATTTGACTGTGCATCCATTTCGCTACACCATCTCACACGACACATCACCCATGGCCGAACACGAAAATCTGTTAGAAATAGCACTGACGGTCAGCTTCCATAATACATTTCACCTTTTTCTATATATGCACGCGTCGACTGGGTAACGCGTAAGCGAACGTCGTCATTCCTTATGCACATACATTGGATACACAGCTTCGATAAGCGATGTGAATTTGGCCGACCCCTTTGCCATCGCCTGCAATATTCAAAATATCCATCTTACGAGACCTGTTAAGTCTTAGTATTTTAACCGTATGAAACTACTGTTCCCTTGTTTCAGCACTGTATCGACTTGAAACCGTTAGTAACCTGTTCTTTTTTCAAGGAATACACCGCATTCAAGGAATCCCTGATGAGATGTGCAAATTTCAACTTGGTGACACAAAATTTCCTGATTCTTCCTTGAAACCGTTTTCCCCAAAGCCGACATTCGTCCAACGCTGGGGTTAGGTGCAAACTTCATAGCTTTGCTCAATTATAAGATTTTCAAATCGTCCAATTGGTATAGTGTATAAATGAACTCGATCTGGTTGCCGTTCAGGCGTTGCTTGTTTCAATCAGGGTATCAATACTCGTCCCGTTCTCACTGAAAATCCCGCTCCTGGGTATGATAAAAGCGCATCGATGACACTGACTTGACTAGAAGCATAAGTACATTGACTTCGAATGACTTACCGATGCCGGGCCAGGACAATCGATCAACGCATCATGTTCTGGTGTGCCGTCCGCTTTCACTACCGGTTCTTCGAAGGGGCTGTTCAAGAAAATAACGATGGGTTTCACCCAAAACAGTGTTTTGAATGCTCATGTTAGTGTAGAACGGTTTAAGGTTTTAAAGCTATAATTTGAATTAACTTTCTAAGTTGAAGCATCAACATTATCAGATGAGGTGGAAAGTTTTATTCGAGTGCGTGAGGGCACAAAAGCGGAAATTGTGTGTTCCGTATGGTTTTAACATGTTACGCTTTGATGCATCAGTGCGAACAGGAGGAAAGAGCTAATGTTGTTTTCAAATTTCTGCAGTGTCATGTTGCATAAAGCACAGTAATCACGCTAGCCTTGATCACTAGATTCGGCATGATACGCACACCGTAATACTACACTGCGTGGTGACTTATCAATCATGTCCTTCTGGTAAATTGGGCTGAAACCTGCTCATCGCTTGATAACCACAAATTGTCTGTATTGAACGCAAATCATCAAATGATCAGTAATAAGGTATTAGTTTTTACCATGGCTAGCATTATTGAACTTTTCTCGTTTAACACAACAAGTGTCACACTCATGAGGGACATGAGAATCGGGTGAGCACATGGTCGCAACGCATGTACGATGAAACGGGCGGTATGGACTCTCAGCCACTTAAACAGACCCCATTATTCTAGTTGCCACGAGTAAACATATGCCAACTTCCTTCTTCGTTTCGTAATACAAACAAGCTTTCACAGACAACTTTCTAACTTCTGGACCACTAGGTTCTATCCGTCCAACCGTCTAGTACGACAAATGCTTACGTGATTCAGACATTCCCAGCTGCATACAGTCATTGCGTCCACATTGGTGGCGCACTTTGCTCCCGCGTTCGCAAGTAACTAGGTGTAGGTACCGAGCTTGACGTACACCATACTTATGGAACCCAACAATCTGGATGGTGCTGTGGAATAACTGTGACAACTACTCGCCAACCTTAACAACACCAAGTTTGCTGGGTTGGACGGGCTTCACACCCTGACTCTGAAGTCCCATTCGATCCTCATCTCGCCTGCTGGGACTGAGTTGTTTAGCGAGCCGCTGTCCGTTGGTTCGGTGCCATTGATTGGAAATACTTGGCGATAAGGCAGTTTCTGGAAGTGATAACACCAGCAAAGTAGACAATTACCAGCCAAGTTGTTTGACATCTGTTTTGACTGAGGTTGCCGACACGACTATAAAAGGAGCATGCTACTGCTGTTCCAATCAAGACATCTCCAGACGCTCGTATAACACGGTTTAATGCTAGGTAGCATATATAAATTACCAACATGCTTCTGACTAAGCATTGATGGATGCAGGTAGTGAACTATGGGGAGTCCGTAAACGTCATATACATCGATTACAGCACAGTTCGACAAGGTGAATCATGAGGCTGAGAGTGTGCGTTGTTGGCGGCTCACTGCGCTACTAGGTTCGCAGGCTTCTCCTTGGACGAAGCTGCATGATACAAGATGATAGACACTTGACCGACTGGTATTCTTCGACCAGTGGCGTAACTATAGTGGTGCTATAGTCTACACTGTTCCTGGTTTACATCGACGATTGGCCTCAGCTTCTTCGGTCGCCGTTTGCCTATTTCAGCAAGACCCCAACCGCTTTTCCATGCAATTTTCAGTAGTCTGCTTACCGGTCAACCCATCTAATTTGGTATTCAAAAGTCTTGGGAAGGGTGGTAGCGGCCCAACATGCACCATTGAGGGCCAGGTCTTACATCCCAAGCCTTCCGTAAAGAACCTAAACGCACTCACATATTGCGGGCTGGAGTTATTGGACAACATGAACAGAACCACTACATCCGGTCTGAAGAGTTTGTCGCTCGTCTCTTTCATCATAGAACTAATGTCAGAGTACGGCTCACGCGCAGTTTGTCCTACCACTCGATGTGAGGCGCGGAAGAGTGAACGGGCCTAACACGTAGCTATTAGGCTCATCCCCTTTTACGGGGTTTACAGTGTAAAGACCGGCGCAGGAGGATTGGAGCGGGCACCCTGCCCTATCGTCGGTTGAGAATCGACCTCATTATAGTCTACCGTATTCTATTTGTAGAGGACTTCCCCATCCTGAGGCCACTGCTCAACTTGTGGATACCACTAAGAGCTTGCAATGCCAGAGTTTCCCACCCCTCTGCTTTGCATGGCGATTGGTCAATATATTGTACAGTTTGCCAGAGCATATAGTGGAAGGAAACTCAGTAGCAATTTGAAATATTGTTGGATGTACATTTCCTTAGGGTTAGACTCCGAGGACGATTACCCACTGACAATGATATCTCACAATTGTGAGTTCCAATTTACTGTTATACATTTCTACGATACCATGTGAGAACTCGAGGTGCGATCAGGGGACTGACGGGTCACAGATAGTTTTTCTATTTTTCGTTTCTGACATTTTTGATCATATTTTGATGAAGTTGTACAGATCTAAACTCGCTCTCATAGTACAGTATTTCTTAAACGTACAGGGTCCTAACCAGAGTCGTAATCTCTCACATAATTGTTTTCAATAAGGTGCAACATTGGATTGTTATCGTTAGCGCACAGACAAGTTCTGCGAACTTGCTGTCCGGACTCTTACACTTTATAGTTTTCGGACAAACTCTTACCTTAAATCCAACGACGCGGCATGTTGTCATGTGACTCAGTGCTGGAATGGGTACTGTAGACGCAAAGCTATTTTCCGGTCTGCACAGCTACAAGAAGCAGCAGCTGTCTTCTGGATGCTTGAAGTCGAACTTGGATGGGTTGATACATGTGTTGCTTTTGGTTGTTTATTAAGTAATCGGCGAAGCAGAAACGAGTGATCCACTCTGTAGTTAAACAAACTCTCCCTATATAAAATTTGTTGAAAACTCTCCCTCCTAAGAGTGATTAGTACTGAGAAATCGGAAGCCCTTCGTGTCGCGTTTTGTGAACGAAAACAATTGAGTTTGGTCAATGGAATGGTTTCCTAGGTTTAACAATCGCATTTAGTGACTGATTTCCTGTTTGACGATGCGGATGTAATCCACCGCCATTTGTTAACCTCTGAAACCGAACTACCAAGAATAGCTTTCAGAACTTAGCTTTACATAGGGTTGGAAGCAAACGCTTTTTCCATATCTGTAAACATTGCTCTTATGGTTCATCTACTAACTATACAGTTATCTCTACTCGAAGAAAATTTTACCGACGGATTCTTGTGGGGTAAGGATCTCACTCCTTCTAACCAGGCCCTGTTTCGGTGATGTCTTTAGTGTGTCACAAAGCACACGAGTTTTATTTGCAAGAGTATCAAAAAGCTATTCAATAAGATTGATTTGAAGTGCTAAGGTATTCAATCAGCTGTCAAGGAAAGCTGAGTCAGAGGCTTTTTGATCGTCTAGAATTCTATCCGGTTCGTAACAATTGCGTCAATACGAAAACTTAGGTTTTGTAGCGGAAAACCATCGTGCCATACTAATCAGATTTGCTCCAAGAAACAAATTTATATACATTCCAAATACCATTCCTGTGTTTTTTCACTATAACTATACCTATTCTCAATCATTTATTGCATAGCTCTTGCAAATTCCTACTTTAATAAATCATGTTCCACCAATTGGCTGCCATCTTGGTCTCAGGTTTTTCGTACTGCAGACATAATCACTGCGATTCTTGTTCTAAAGTTGTCGGAAGGCGAGCAAATGCACTCACATGTGTTGTGTGTCTGGCTAAATTCCATATTTAAAGCATTGGACTATCTATTGAGAATTATTGGCATCTTCGTGAAATCTAACATGATTTCGTTCAAATTTGTGTAAGAATGGCCAAAACGAGATGCAACTGGAAAAGGTACGGCAGAATCGCAAACCACCTACTAGTGTGAATAATTCCGTTGAGAGCAACTCCGTGTGTTTTGTCCAACAAGCTAGCTCGAAGCGTCTCCAGGTTTCAGATAAGCTTTCCTGTTTGTCCCGTGCAAACTCACTAGCACGAAGTTCCACAGTTACCAGCAGCCAAGTTGCACCTGACGCGGATATTTCACCTGTGTTGTATTCTACAGGTACAGATGTCTCATTGTGTGAGGACTTGTCTACTGCAGACACTTGGAAAGTATAAGGAAGGAAAAGGCGGAAAATGAAAAGAGTTCAGCTCCTGCAAATCAACGACAGTCCAGACCACATGAAGCGCGAGAAACTCCTTGTCCTGCAAGGTCAACCTTGGCCGACCAGAGGCATTTTAATCTTCTGATCCTTCCACGCGCCTGAATCCAGCGATCTAACTCCCCAGGTGTGCTACGATCATGGTGTCGAGTTTTTACAATACCTAATTGACAGACTCCTCGACATGGAGGAGGACGGGTTGAAAGTGAAACAAATTACCAACCTTGCAAAGAAAATTGATCAACAAAGAAGACTAACGAGAAGTATCTTTGTGGACGAAACTAGATCGAGATTTACTTTCTCCGGAGTGAATGGGTTTAAAGGTCTAAAGCTCCATTTTCGTCCAGACTTAGATCCGGTGGCTCGAGAAGGAATCAATTCTGCTATCATTGAACTGAAGAGACGAACTGGTGATGGGGAAACAAATCGCTGTATCGTAACTTTTCGGGGAGTCTCCAAGATTCCACGAATCAGGATAAATGGGTTGCACACACTTCAAGTGGCCCGGTGGTTCCTGCTGCGGTCTGCGTGTAGCCTTTGCCAATATTTGTAGTCTTATGAATAAGCGCGATGAACAGTCGTTTCGTTGCATCTGAGCGGCCAAAGGTAATGGGACTCACAGAGACGTGGCTGAATTATGAGGTGATAGCCCAGGAAATCGAACTCAGGGGCTACTTATGCCTCCGCTGCAATGGACAATCGACCGCCTGCAGTGGCGTCTTGTTGTGCAGCCGGTCCTTCCTGTGTGGGAGAGTTGTGAGCGTCTACTGAAGCAACAAGGGTCTGTGTGAGCAGCTGTGCTGCTCGATCCATCGCAGACACGGGGAGCTGCTCCTATGTGCATTTTATCGCAGTCCACTGAACAGTTGTTCGGATTGGCTGTTACATCTTCGAAGTCACATGAGTCGTCCCATTTTCTACTCATTGGTGTTTTAAATTGTTCTCGGATACGCTGGCCTGAAGTTGAACTTACGCCAGGACAGTGTGAGGTCGAAACAACGTTCGTGGACTTAATACTTGAAAATGGAGCAGCGCAACACATACACCAGGCGGCTGGAATAACATCGCGCTCAAATCCGTCTTGCTTGGACTTGGTGTTAACAAGCTATGAACAACATATGTACGACGTTCAGCTCCTAGAGCCCCTAGCAGCAGATGAGCATTCAATGCTCATAGCCAGTATGGATCTATCTTTGTTGTTCGCTGGAGCCAGCTTACAACTACTGGAAAACTAACTGCGACTGTCTAACACGATCCGCGAGCCAAGTAGATTGGTCACTGTCGCAAACTGCATCTGTGGAAGACTGTTGGACTGGTATTAGAGAAAGACTGATATTACTGTGTTCTCCATTTGTACCGTTGAAATGTCGGAAAGTTGGACCACTCAAGCCGCATTGGTTCGACACTGAGTACGGTAAAATGGCTCGACAGCGGCACAAATTGTGGAAAAAATTCCTCCTCTCCAGCTCTTCTAATGATTACGATACATATAAGAGACAGCGAAATAGTTGCAATAGTGCAAAAACGAGCAAGCACCGGCATTTCGAACATCAGCTTGCAACCGCCGCAAAGACAGTTCCGAACAAAATAGTGGCTTACGTGAAGCGGCGCATCAAACCAGCAGGTGATCTGATAGCGCTAGAGGGCTCGGAAGGATAGACCCTAATCTTCAGGACTGAGAGTGTATCCGCCTTGGCGGCACACTTTGCTTCTGTGTTTGCAAATGACCAGGTGTCTGTACCGAGTTTGACGTGTATCGCGCTTACCGAACTCGACAGTCTGGTTTGTCATGTAGAAGAGGTGTATCATCTACTCACCAAGCTTGACAGCACCAAATCTGCTGGGTCTGATGGGCTTCACCCCTGGTTCCCAAATCCTTATCAGCCACCACTTCGCTTGCTTTAACTGACCTGTTCAACGAGTCTCTGTCCCAAGGTACATTACCGATTGATTGGAAATGCTCGGTTGTAAGGCCGATTGCGAAAAGCGGTGACCCCCGGCAAAGTAGACAACTACAGGCCGATTTGTCTGACACCTATTTTGACCAAGATTGCCAAGAAGATCGTGATAAAGGGTCTACTACAGCTACTTCACTCAAAAGATCTACTGAGGTTCGCACAGCACGGTTTTCTGCTAGGCCGGTCAAGATTTACCAATCGGCTGGTGACGAGGCATGAATAGTTACAGGCAGTAAATCAGGGGGAGTTTGCCGACGTAATTCACACCAATTTCAGTAAAGCGTTCGACAAGGCAAACCATGAGGTCCTCTTCCGCAAGCTGAGAATGTGCGGTGTTGGTGGCTTACTGCGCCAGTGTCTCCAGGGCTTTCTCGTTGACCAAAAGTGGAGGGTACAGTTCGACGGCCATCTAACTGATTGGCATTCCTCTACTAGTGGAGTACCCCAAGGCACGGTGCTGGGGCCTACACTGTTCCTAATCCACATTAGCACCCCAGACGATTACAGCCTACTTCAGCACGACCATAACCGCCTCTCCATATGGTCTACAGAAGTCCGCCTCCAAGTCAACCCATCCAAGTCGGCATTTCTGAGCCTGGGGATGGGTGGTAATGGCCGCATGTTTACCATTGACGACCAACTGCTACATCACACACCTTCCGAGTGGGACCTAGACCTACTCTTGCGGTGCAACTTGAAGTCTGTTGATAATGCGAACAGACTATATCGTAACAGACTGCGCGTGTTTAGGCAATCAAAAGCAGCTTCCGTACTTGGTCTGAAGAAGTTACCACTCGCTTCTTCGCTTCCATCATAAGACCATCATAAGACCTGCCTACTGCCCAATAACCCAAGGCGAGGCACAGAAGATCGAACAAGCCCAACGTGTATTTTTGTTAGTCGCAGTCATCCGACAATTCAGATAAGTCAAATACCTATCCGGAAATGCACCAGCCGGCCGTTTCGCCCTATTGGGGCTCGTCAGTGGTGCGCATCCTTCGGTACTCTACGGAGGATCGAACCCATGACTGCTAGTGGCTTGTGCCAACTAGTCCGCAGCTTATGCAACTGCGCCATGAAGGACGGTAGCCGACCATCAAGAATTGTTAGCTAACTGCGATATAGCCCGACCCATCCTCCACTGCCATGCAGGCACCTGCCACGCAGATGACAGCGGTTGGCCTTCCGGTGTCAGGACTTCCCGGTTACGGCAGCTATGAACCGACATGGCATTTATGGAAACCGTAAGGGCGCGTTTGTATTACTTATGAGTAGAAGGATTTTTGTTCGTATTTTTGTTCGTCGCAGTCATTCGACAATTCAGATAAGTCAAATACCTGTCGCACCACTGACGAGCCCCAACAGGGCGAAACGGCCGGCTGGTGCATTTCCGGATAGGTATTTGACTTATCTGAATTGTCGGATGACTGCGACGAACAAAAATACACACAAAAATCCTTCTACTCATAAGTAAGCCCAACGTGTCGCTACGAGTCTCGTTCCAAGCTTAGGAGAACTATCGTGCGAAGACCGGTGCGAGAAGCTAAGACGTTGCTCTTGCCATGTCGTCTGGTGCGAGTCGATCTCATCATGACATACCGTCTATTTCATCACAGTGACTTCCCAGTGTTAATGCAGCTGTTTCAGTTGCGAACGGTATGCAACACACGCAGACACCGGTACAAGATTTTGGTGCCGGACATAAAACGATTACCCTAACCCGTGTGCTTCGAACGGACAGTGGTAGATGTTTGGAATAGTCTGTCGAACAAGTCGTGGAGGTTAAATTTGTACGACAGTTCAAAACCTTATTGGATTTCAGCCCCATTCGATTCCTGGAACGATCGCACAATGGCAATGACATCTTGTATTTGTGAACCCTACGAAACTGTAAGTCAGAAATTGTAAAATGCTACATAAGAACTTGTCGAACGATTTGAGTAGCACTGAGTGCAGACACTTTTTATAATATTTTTGACTATATTGTGATGGAGTTGTACAGATTTATATTTCTACTTGCTCCAACCTACAGTATTCATAGTTCTTTCAAGATGGACTTAACTGCTGCTGAATTTCATCCAACGACGCGAACGCGCCTCAATGCGTACTGTTCGTTTAGTGGCCAATGCTTAATCAGCCAATAGCCTCCCATGCTAGGTCATCGTCTGATACGCTTTTGACTGATTTGGCATCTGGCACGCAGTGAACAGTCGCATTTAGAGGCGTTCAAACCCATTAGGTGCAAAGACCATTTTGAGAGATCTGTGAGGGAACATGATTTATTTCAGGAGGTATTTGAAAACGCTACAGAGGCAATTGACTGAGAAAAGGTATAGAACACGGATTTTAAACCATTACTGCGATAACTAACTGCCAGAGATGAAAAAGAAACACGACACGAATTTGTGCAAAATGAGAAAACAAGCTACGGAATCTACGTTACATACACCTGGTCAGCTGACGTCAGTGCGTAAGACGTATTAGTGGATTTCCACATGTCACCGCAGGTTAATTTGTCGAGTATCTAACACATTACACTTGTTTGCAGCGACCATGCACCGTATGTCCACACGCAGTCGAACACTGGTGGTGAGTCCCCGATGCACATGTATAGAGTAACAATGTGCTGGATTAGCTGAGGATTCACCTGTGACCCGATGGTTCAATGCATAAATGCCAAGCACCTGTTAACTCACGATGAGTTAGAGAGGGTTTGTTGTTTCTGATGGGTGAAGTGGTATCGCTGTGCCGAAGTTGCCAGGGTCATATCTCCAGTGTGTGTCAACTCGTTCCGTGAATTGTTCGCCTCCGTGGCCTTCCTTCGTATTGATTTTCTACGAAGAGACGCGTAACATGAGCATGAAGTGCGAATATTGATAAGCATCAGAGGTGATTAATACATATGGGATTGAGAATGAGCCGAGCATTATACTGACGCCAAAATGGTCCACGGAGATTAGTGTGCTAATATTTCCGGTTTACCGATGTAAAGTGACAAAGGTAGCAGGTGTTTAGATGATAAAAGCAGATTAACCAGTTATTTATATTTGAGAAATTCCTTGCGCTGCCTCCAGTTTAGTTGAAACTGACTTCGGATACTTTAAAAAGTATTCATATGTCCAAATGATATTCATTTCCAGACTGTTGAAACCATAAAATAGTCTACTGCTGGGTATCAATCGCAAAATATAAGCTCCTCTAGGAGTTCATTCGCTTTTTCCGAGCAGCAGACCAATGGGCAATAGTGCAAGTATTTTACCCACTGTACGGGGTTCATGTGTGTGAATAGAGAGACTAGCACTGTTGGCGTATTCAAATCCTAGAAGTCGTTCACACACTCAACGAACTGCAATCATCCTTGTTGATCTACTTTCAATTGGTTATAATGAATTCTATACTTCGGCAAAACTCACCTTGTGTGTGTTGCGGCTACAATCTTACCGGAAACACATAACCATGCCTACGGTCTTCTTGATACAGCAAACATTACAGACAGACGCAAATGAGAATGGCCTCAATCTCGACCTAGTGCTGATAATTTACCACATATGGTCATGGGAACAGAATGACGTTGTTTGCCTAAATGATATGTAGGTTTAGCAAATATTTTGTCGCGGTGGGAGCTGCATGCTACCCAAAACAAAATGATGGCCAGAGGTAGTAAGTGCTGCACACGTGCACCGAATGAGGGACAGAACAAGTTATGCAAGTAGTCAGTCACCTGTCTAGTTGGCTTTCATCGAATCAGGAAACGTCATGCTAGCCTACCAGAGTACACAGAAGAGACAGAAATGGTGCAATCCACTATTTCTACACAGTCCAATTGGGAATGCAAGTGCGGAAGGAATCGGACGCCGGACAAATTGACAAACCAAATCCGCATGCCTTCAATTTACCACGGTTTTGGTAGGGTTTACTAGCAGTTGTAGCTTTAAGTATTGCAAGGATGAATTAGTGAGTCAAATTTAAGAAATATCGGATAACTGCCACTTTAGGTTGAGAGAGGATTTCGTTCAACAATACCCTTATCGTGATTCCTTTATGGGCTCCATTCGAAGGCCATTCTGAGACACATGTGGCCAGAATTAGATAAAGTACAAGAAAAGTTATAGTAAACGAAAAATGAACTTAGCACTACTCGTTAGAACAGCGCAACCACGCGGAGTTCCTATGTTTTGATTGAGTTCTAGTGGATAAATACTCCAAGGTTGTTGAGAGAAAACGATAGGCATTTACCCTATAATTGCTCTTCCCTTTTTCTACAGACACTGACTTTTGTGTTCATACTATCCACAGACATGGTTACAGGACATGTGGTTCTGTGCTTTAAACTAAACTCGTCAACTGAGATCGTAAAAGTCAAATATGGCGAACAATAAGATGGAACCACACCAACAGAGGCGAATTTCACGTCGAAATTTGAATGAATCCAGACCGGTCGTGCTTCGCGAACAATCATCAGTAGGCCAGTTTCTGTGGTCTCCAATGTGTTGTTGGTCATCTGGGCTTTAGAATATTTGGAAGGTGGTTAGTACGCATTTACCCGCTAATGGCTGCAAAGCCCTGTTACTCATATGTACAGGCCTGAAGTGTAGCAGATAGCCGAGTTGGATGGAGTATAAGCGCTTTCAATCCGTACCCATGCTTCGTTAGTCTCCCTTTTAATTTGAATGCGTTTCCTGGAACGTCTGTACACGGTGATCACCAGTGATGCCGCACCGTTCTTGGCCTACTATGTCTAACTCAGTGATCAGTGACTGTCATTAACACATGTGAAATCAATCGTAGGTGCTACGGCGGTCTGCGAAAATGGCTGATCTGCATGAGATCAGTCCAGCCACAGGTTGCATTACGCATATGCGTTTACAACATAAACGAATCTTGACCTCAGAGGAACACAGTTGGAAATTCGATAAACGGAGCGTTCCCTGACCAATTACGAGTTACGCCCAGGTTTTCAGAGGGCGTCAGATCATTTATTAGTGGGTTTTGGAGGACCCGCCGTGCACCGGAATTGCAGCACGCAATCTCGATTGAGGCTACAGTTTCCTTTGAAGCAAACGCTGCCGTGGAGCTGCGGCCTAGTGCGCAAGACGAAAGCCGTCAACCATTGTGTTGGGCTCAAGCTATCTCTCTCTGATGAGTCCAAATCAGGACGAAACCAGTCGGTCATGGAGTGCGGTGTTGGAACCACCACTCACCACTTCGGATGCGGTCTCAATGATCGAGACGGCATGGGTTTGCTTAACGCAAACTGTAGCCCCAATCTAGATTGAGTGTCGCAATCTAAACGCACGGCGGATACTCCAAAACCCACTAATGAACTTCTAACCGCTGTGTCAAGCGTTGCTGTAGAACTGTGGCCTAGTGACCAGGACGAAAGCTGTCAACTACTGTTTTGAGCTCCCTTCTCAGCTCTAGCTATCACTATCTGACGAGTCCAAATCAGGGCGAAACCGGTCGGCCGTGGAGGGCTGTGTTGAGAGAAAGCAGCTCCGAAACTCCACGGCATCAGATCGTACTTTGTGGGGGAGAAGGTAAAACTAACAAATCCGGTTTGGGTGTAAGTGGAGTGGAGGAGTTTCCGGCTGTACTCCATAACCGAATATATCTTTTTGTGGACTCTTCGATGTACGGAACCAGGGAAACAATCATGTAAACATTGAACTGTGTTCAAATGCATCCAGGTCAAGTTTTCTTCCCGCGGTCACCTCATTCCTGCTCTCAGTGTGTAGCAAGAACGACGCGGCAATGAAGCACAATATATATTGACGCGATCACAAGCTATACCACCGCTCACGCAGACGTACATAAATGAGTCACCTTTCCTTCCCATGACGCACCATCTCTCCTGGCTTCCGCTCGCAACACATCCATGCACTTTGGGGACCTCGTGGGTGAATATTCCTTGCCTATTTCACCTCCGTATCTCCGCTTCTACGAGGACCATTCTGATCGGCCCGGGTTCTTCGATAGCTCATGATTTGCTTGACCGTTGATACATCACTCTGCTTGGGATCGGTCCGGGAGGCTGCGATAACGGCGCTTTGGTATGATATATAGCGTTCTCGATGAATACCCCCTCAGTTCTGCCTGGCTCCGAGTCACTACCGGACGCCGCTGGTGATCCGTTCTCGTCATCTTCCGTCAGGCCAGCATGGTTCCGTCTGCCCTCGTCCATTGCGCCTGTCCCCTTTTTTGTCTGCCCCGTTTTCGGGGTCTTTCTCTCCTCCGGGCGATCCCTACCTTCTATCCTCCTACAATTAGACTAGAATTTTCTGTAGAAATCAACAACTACTTTGCAATTACTTGGTGCTACATAAACGTACATGAAATGCCCACCTCGCCAGTGGGGTATACTTTTAAACACTTTTACCACAATATTAGTTCCCGTGTTTACCTCATTTCTGCTGTTCACCGGTCCGGAAATTTAACCCTACTCCTTTTGCACACTATTGTCAAGTAATCCCCGGGGAAATTAGGAAAACTTTTGAACAACTCGCGTACGGAGTTCTAACTCTTTTACTACAGAGCTTGATAACAATCGGTCAACGGCCTGCGTAGTTTCGGGATCGCGGCGTCTGCGACTAGCAAACCAAGGCTACTGCATGTTCGCGTATTAAAACCATTTCTGATGAAGCGTAGGAAAGCTAATTGCTCTGTTTTAACAATGTTTGTCGCGCACCACACATGCAGATACGCAGAAAGTGTTTAATTCCGCCAGTACACAGAGAAACATGTTCGCAACACGGAGTCATGAGACACTAATACTGCAACCTCTGAAGTACATTCCTTCCATATTAGTGAAAGCATTTCAAAACATGTTACTTTTTATCACCAGCGGTGCACAAATATTTATCTGGCCCTTCTTCATCAGCCTGTAAACGTACCACGAGGATAATTTTTCAACACATTTGAGTGTGCAACACTTACACGCGTCCACCTATACCAGAGAAATTCCATTCCACCTCCTTTTGTGTCATACGTATCCTTCCAGCTGATCACATGTGAAGCGTTTCACCTTTTCCAAATCAGCTTATGATCTTTGTGCTGTATGCGGTTGCACCACCATGATCACACCAACGTAGGTGCGTTTTGCAACTGTCGAGAATGATCAATATATTACAGCAGTTGCTTAGTTCCAAACAACAAATTCATTCCCGATCGAATTGGTAACTGAAGCCAAAATGGGACACGCAATCGCCGACTGGAACCTAATGGTTGTTTTCTGTGAGACGAACACATGTTCAACAGTATTCGCAGGTGTGTAACTGCTCAAACCAAAGGGGAAGCCGGTAGCTTAAGCGTGACCGTATTGGATTCCAGCTCGTCAACTGCAATGCACCTGAACGGGCCGCAGACAAGTCAATATTACTCTACTTTTGCAGTTATGTCCCAATGATCAAATTGGTCGAGGTTCGCTTGATTGGGAATCGAGTGTCGCAATCCAATCAAATAACGGACGCTTCAAAGTGACCGTCCAATCAAATTACAAAAACTTTTCCACAGTCTCGCGAGTGAAATGCTTGAAGATTTGCGCTATGGAGTAGGAGGAGATTCATAAACGATGGGATATGCAACCGCAAAACCATTAGCTAATCTGTCAGGACAGCAGCACTGGCTGATAGAACGAATTATAAATTTACTACGTTGGAGGTTCAAGCCCAATGATAGCGGTTGCTAAAGTACCAAGCACAATAGGGATGGTACTCTTTGTGAGCGGCCATTCGGGACGGTGTTATGTGTCGATAAATATCCTCCTGTCACTTCCATTGTACTTCATTCCTCTCTGTTCACTCCACTAAAGATATGCTTGTGGGGTGTGCCATATTACGTTTATAACTAAAAATGCCAAGTAAATTCACAAAACAATCTAACAATAAAATCGTATTGCACAAATTTCTGGTAACAACTTGGCTGTATTCGGACCGCTGGTTGTAATATACTAACAATTATCAACAAGCGATGCGTTCTAGAGAGCAGACAAAACAGACTGAATGTTCAGAAATAGTGCTAGTCCAGACACTCACCTGCAAGTCACAGCTATCCAAATGAGGCATATAATTGCCGTGACGAATACGCAAAATGCCACCGCAAGTCCTGTAGGAAGAAAAATATAGCAAAGTTGTACTCAGTGGGAAAGAACGAGTGTTGTTCGAAATCTTAACAATCACAATCCACAAACGCCTCTGCTGAAGTTGAGAACTGTATGTGGTGCTAATGCACAGAATGGCTATCTGTTCTTCACTCATTCGCAATAGGATTAGACCTTAGAGATTAGCGCAAACGAATTAGATGATATTCATTGCGTTGAGATTGCAAGAGATCAAGCAAAACATTTTGCAATCTACTTTTCGAGATAAGGGCCTCGTAAAGAGGTTTGCCTCGTTTGTTTTCCGCGCATGCGCTCTACTGATGCGTTGGCGGAACCATGGTCTAAGTGATAAAATAAATTCATCTTTCAGAACATGCAACGCGCTCAGGTGCAGGATCGTTCTGTGGCACTGATGCAGGCTAAGTTATGCGTTGCCATACGCATCCGATACACTCAGTTCCCCGAAAACTGCAAATGTTGACCGCTTTCTCACCAAACGCTTGCATGTTATCTGTAGAGGACTTTTGAAGTAAACCTTTTACGATGTATTGCAACACCCTCAAGTCAAACATCCTTACGCATCCGGAAAAGCACTGAGTGCAAACTCAGTTCCTCCATGAAACGAGTCCAAGTTTGGTGTACTCTAGAAGCGTGTGACAGGAGATACAGCACAATTTTGTCTTTTGTAACTAGTAGCTGCGGCTTTTCACTGGCGACCCAACTAGAATCTGACAATTTAACTGGACCAATCGGTTCATCTAATTTACCTGATCTACAAGATACTTTATCTCCATTGTTCTATTAACCCCCATTGTAAAAGGAATACATATATTTCGCTAAAAAGTAGAACGGACAGCAAGTGAACGTCCGCTTAACGACACCATCCACTTATAATTAGTTATACTCCTATCGTTCATTTCGCACCTGTAACTCCGGTATTCAACGGCTTCCTAAGGACACGGAACTCCACTCACGCTGGTACACTGAAACTCGCTTTGTTCCATCTCAAAATTCGTGTCTCTACAGAGTAGGATCAAGTAAGCAAGAGAGAATGGATCACTGATATGCAACATTGGTGGAATAGTCGCTAGTAAAGGAAAACCAGCCACAACTCGGAAGCAACATTTGATGTCACAGTTAAACGTCCAGCCCACATACGTGCTCATTTAACACAAAGTGTCCCAAATGCAACCATTCGCCTCCAAAACTGTCTGGGATGAACGTACCGATGGCGTGCATTTGTTTAATATTTTTCACTGCAGGTCAGCTGGTGCGCATTCGATTTCACCTAAGGGGCAGCTCGGTCCTATCGCTATAGGTTAACCTACTTCCGACCGTCAGAGGAATCTTTTCTTTACCAGTTGTATTGACACGTTTCAACCACATCCGCAGTGGGGTTGGCAATTCATGCCACACATAGCATGAGTACATACATCATCATGTAGCCTTCAGTGCAACAGGTGTAGCTTCCCAAAGAAACCCTGACAGTGAAACATTCTTAAGCAATTCTCTTGTACGGTTTTGAATAAGTGTGACCAAGCTTCATGTAGTGACTGGGTTGTTTATTTAAAGGCCAAAATCCGATTGGGGCCTCAGACTAATCGTTACCTGTACTAGGGTGCAACATGCCAATTCACTAGGTGATTTTCTGCAACTCTTTAAAACAAATGTTTGCTCATAACATCGCAGTGCTGACAAAGTATTTACTCGAATGTCCCAATAGGTTTATACAGCCAGAGGTGTGGTACTTCTCTCAGATATCAAAACGTGCATATCTTTCAAGTACACAATGTTCAAGGCTTTCAACTCCGCGTGTTCGTCTAGTTGTAGGAACCACAATACCGGATGATTTTTGAAACTCAGATTTGTTTCGATAAATTGCCGAAGGCGGAGAAGAGGTTCAGTGAGCTTATGACAAGCTGAAACACATTCCGCATAAAAGGGCGAGTAGCAGAAACGGACTGTATGCGAAGACCTAAAGGCCATGAGTTCAAGACGGCCAGTTCGGCATGCTAAATAATAGTGCTGTTCTCTTCCATCACAACGATTATTTTTAATCCGGCTGTTATGAGTGAGTTACCGGCTACTCCATTCCAGTTCTCTTCCTGTTGAATGGTGTGCAGAGGTTTTTATTTAGTCCATCTATTACGCAGCTCCTATCCTACGCAGGAATGGATATATAAACATGAAATGTCAAGGTTCCACCTTTACTCCCCGTATTAAACTGGTATGAACTTGTGCTACAGACTTGGAGCTATGGGCTTGCAAGTGGAGGTTTTCTTCTTTGGTCTTCTTCTGTTTAATCTTAGAAATAGATAGTGGGTTCAGGCCGAAGTCTGTCATCCGTCCTCACTACCTTTCGAACAGACAGACAAATGTAACCGGTGATCGTACTATGAGTTGCTCAACCTAAAGGCCGCCTCAGTCATATAGTAGAGCGTCGCACGTGTACGCAAATCGTCTTGTTGTTATTCTCAGATTTGAAGAATATTTGTAACACGTAAGTGTGCTCAGTTGCAGTAATGAGCGTGAACAATTCGTTTACCGCAGAGTAATTGGAGACGTATCGTTGTTTTTTGACAGGGTTCCTGGCACACGGCGTTTTGGTCTGTTAACGCTCATACGAAAACACGTTTGATGGGTGTCTCCTCCTATTCGGATTCATTTAAGGTGGTCACGCAATACAGCCGACTGGAATGTCGACGAAACTTTTTCTCCCTCCGAGTGTCACAGCCTTGGAACACCCTCCCAGAGGATGTAATTAATGCTTCTACTTTATCCCTTTTCACAAAACGCGTTGACGATACCCTGACAAACTTACACTACGTGCTACTCTAAACCCCTTGGTGAGTCATGTAATTCACACGTGACGCGTTCCAGTCGACACTACAAAAGAATGGATATCCCAAGCGATTTAAAGCACGGTAAGTGAACTTACAACCTAAAGATAAACCAACAACAGGTGTTCCAGAGAAAAAGGTATTTATTACGCTGCCGTTTAAAAGGGACCAAGTAGACTGATGTCGGCACCGTCTTCGTCAATCTGTCAAGAAGTGCTATTACGCGGCTGAGCTAGTGGCATTGTACGAAATCAGGAGGCTGCTGTGCATATCCAACCTGAACAAACAGGACTCTTAAGTTACCGCCTCGTGCTTCTACTTTTTACTTGTATTCGCAATAGCAACGACGTTGGCAGAACTGAGAGAAGGCTGTCAGCGAGGATTGCAAAGCACGTCCCCCAATATATGGTAGCAAATGGTCCGAAACCACCCACGAGCTCTATTGCACCCCACGTACTTGATTGCCCTGTGTGCAAAAACCCACATGGTGCGTTTAGAGTAATCAACAAACAAAGCAGTCCGCGTCTACTTCAGTTCGCTGAGGCCTCAACGATTCGCCGTTTGAAACCAAGTTTGTGCAAATAAGCGGACTTCGTGACCAGCCTCGCCCTACCCTAGTGAGCCTAGTGCCGTCTTCCCTCTGAGCGGGTCACGTGAAATCACCGATTTTCGACCGCTTTAAATTTTCGCCGAGAACTGTAACTTAATCGCCCTTGCTATGTAGCCTATGGTCGCGAAGCAGCTGGCGCGCTACAACATCGATATTGCGGCGCTCAGCGAAACCCGGCTCGCTGAGCAAGGTAAGTTGTATAAAACAGGTGCTGGCTACACATTCTACTGGGTGGGCAACGCCGCCTCAGCTCCACTTGAACATGGGGTCGGATTTGCAATATCCGATCGCCTCCATGTCCAGCTGATTGGTGAACCAACAGGCATCAGTGCGCGACTGATGACTGTTCGCCTACGACTCGGAAGAAGTAAGTTTGCCACCATTATAAGCACGTACGGTCCGACCATGTGTTATCCCGATGACACGCGTGATCAATTCTACACTGAGTTATCCTCCGAGATACGGTCTGTGTCGATGAGCGACCGACTATTTCTGCTGGGTGATTTCAACGCGCGTGTTGGGCGTGATGCATCGGTGTGCACGGATGTTATCGGTTCGCATGGCATTGGTTCAGCGATTGCTAACAGTGACAGACTGCTCTCACTATGTGCCACTCATGGCCTGACGATCACGAACACTCGGTTTGCACTGAGTGTGAGTGATATAGCAACTTGGACGCACCCACGGAGTGGTCACGCTCACCTGCTCGACTATGTCATCGTACGTCAGCGTGATATGCGTGAAGTGCGCATGACACGTGTACTGCGTGGAGCTGAGTGTGGCACTGATCACAAGTTGGTGCGGACCAAACTGTACATATATTTTCGTAAATCTATGTATTGCACTCCCGCCGTGAATCGGCGTAAATTTAACATTCTCTCCCTCGGTACTGTGGCGAAACGTACTGAGCTGGAGAAGGCGATGGCTGCACGCCTGTGTGATGTGAACTGCATAGCCACAGTGGGCGACCTGTGGCACCACATTCGCGACCAGGTGACAGCTGCTGCCGAGGAGACCATCGGGCGCGCAAAGTCTAAGCGCCCTGATTCGTTTGATGAGAACAATGCGACGATCGGCGCAATTGTGTCGGAGAAGAATGCAGCATTCGCTGCACTTGTTGCAGATCCCAGTGAGTTGGGAAAGAGTAGTCAGTTTCGCAAACTCCGACGGCGACTGACCCGAGAGCTCCGTCGCAATAAAAATGCATGGTGGACGGAGAAGGCGAAACAGATGGAATGCTACGCCGAACATGGACAACACAAGGAATTTTTTGACTCCTTGAAGGCGGTGTATGGACCGAGATTGGAGCCTCTGAGGACACTGCTCGATGGTACTTCAGGCGTCACCTGCACACAGACTGCAGACATAATGCACATCTGGCGGAAACACTTTGACTGTCTCTTGAACAACCGATCAGAGATCGACTGGCCTACATTGAACAGCCTGAAGCAGCACGATGTGAAGGCTAATCTGGCGGATACGCCGACACTAGATGAGACGCAGAGAGCACTTGCTCAGCTGCGAAACGGCAAATGTGCCGGAGCCGACGGGATCC